AAAAAAAAAAAAAAAAAAAATGTTATGATTTCAAAAAAATAATCAGTCATTTTAATAGTTTTCTCCATAGGCGTTGTTTATTTTCTTTTTTTTCTAATTGAGTCCTTATGGTTTTTAGTGTTGTGCTTTTTGGAAAATGATACCAACCTACTTGTACACATTACTGATTCTACTAAGTGCCCCCTAATTCTTCTCCATTGATTTCCAGGCCAAAATGAAAAAGCTAGGACTATCAACTAAAATTTCATAGTTTTGTGTACCAGACCAGAAATTACATATGATAAATTGGAGAGCACATGAGATTTGGAACCAGTGATTATAGGTTCAATTCTTGGCCATGCCCTATAAAGGGTATGTATTCCTAGACCAGTAGTTTATCCATGGAACCTTTGTTTCCTTACCTTAGTGCAATAGTTAAGTTGTGTGCCAATTTGGCTGATCCAGGATTCTCTGTAGTTTGGTAATAATCCCCTATAATTTGATTCAACACAATGCAAAAAACCCCATGATGGAATCTAATAAAATGCAATCCACTCTGTAAACAACCTATAGTTGTGTTGGCTTGTAATCTCCTTGATTAGGTACCAGCCTTCATGCAATTCGAAGAAAGATTCCTCAGGGTTGTAGCATGCTCCTGTTCAAATAACCTCAATGGGAAAGCTTCATTTCTCCTGGGTCTGTATCCTGACCACAGGTATCAGCAGCAGACTGCCAAACTTGGATTCATCTGACTCTGCATCAACCAGTCTGTGGTCTTCCTACCTTGTCTTCTGCTTCCTGGTTTGTCAGCCCCTGCAGCTACACAAATCATGAGAAGCCTCCAGGTTACCATATGACGCCTGGACTTGAACCAGATTGAACTAGCTCATTTCTACAACTGTGTGAGTCACTTCTTGATAAAATATCTTCTATGTCCATACACAAATAATCAACCCACTTGGGATACCAATTTTTATGCTTGTCTCATAATTTTTATAATAATTGATTATCAATGTTTATGAAAGTATTTCATGAGCAAATAAACTATTAATCAGCTATTGTTTAGATTTAATCCTTTTTAAAGAAACACTGTACAGACAAACTGACCTATCTTTTGGAAAATGCAGGAGGAAATCAGAATAGCACACAAAAATGTTACTGATGTTCATCTTTTTAAGGCTTTGTAATGAATTATTGAGAGATGGGGCCAGGTTTGTTTAACAGAAAATTCCAGAGAGATCAGCCCAGAGCAGAGGGGCTACAGAAAAAGATATCCTACAATTCCAGACAATGTTATTCTCAGCATATAAATAAATAGACACAAATTTATTAAAATAAAAAAGCCGCAATGCCTGCCAATAGATTTCCCAAGCCTCTCAACCAACATTTCCTGGTCCCAGGGCTATTCCTTTGTCATCAGCCCACTGCACAAGTAAATAAAGGGGGACATAAAAAAGTCCTTGAGGTAAACAAGAACAATAACACAACATATCAAAACCTTTGGGATACAGCAAAAGCAGTAATCAAGGGACAAGTTACAGCAATCAACACATACACATTCAAAACAGAAGATAAATCCAAAATCAACACCCTAACACACCTTCAAGGGCTGGAACAGGGACAACAACATAAACCCTCCAGGAAATTAAGGAAGGAAATCATAAGGATCAAAGCAGAAATAAATGATAAGGAGGAAAAATGGAAAAACACGAGGAAGAAAAGGGTGCTACAGCAAAGTGTGGTGAAAAAAACAGATGGTGCCCGGCTATCAATTAGAATAGTTTCTAGGGGCTTACAGGCTTGTGTTCAAACAAGCAGCCATCTAAGTGAGGCATCAACTAAATATACACAGAAGAAGCGCACCAGCCTGTGTGTGATTCAAAGATGACAATAACAAAATCCAAATATGACCAAGTGCATAGTCTCAGAGCATAAATTGTGAAGACCCACTTTGTAGAATGCTAAGGATGGCAATAGGAGACAAAAATCCTTCTGCAGAATATCTAGTCAGAATAAGCCTCTGACAGATCCCCTCTGGAGCACCTGTAGTATCCGATAGAGACTATTATAAACTTGATCGTGGTGGATCAAACTATGATAAAATATGCTACTTGGCCAGTCGACCTCCCTCAACCCAACCTAAATTTACTCTAGCTAAGCTTAAATATTTCTCATTTATTTCATGACAGAAATTTCCCCTTTGGCTCTTTAAATATTGCTGGTGATTTTTTCTTTCTTGCACTTATTTTTATTTTCTTCTTTTTGCTTTGTTTGTTTTTCTATTGTTTATGTTAAGTTTTCCTGTTTATGAAATACAGAAGGAATGGATGATAGAGGCAATAAACAATTCAATGTTTTTCAGGGACTAGGGGTGGGGAGGGGGAGGGGAATGGAGGAAACAATGAGCACTAGAACTGATTGTGATGATACATATAACAACTCTTCTTAAAAGTGACTTAACAATGGAAGTGTATGAAAAGTGAATTTTATATCAAGACAATTATTTTTTTAAAAGAAACCAAAGTTGACCAATGGCTACCATGGATGAAGGAGGAAGCAATTTTGCTTAAGGGACAGTGAGTTTACGTTAATGGTGGTGGAATAATTTTGAAAAGGATATCAATAGTGGATACATAAATATACTTGGAAAAATTTTGTTGTGTATATTTTTGCCATAGTCAATGATAATAATAACTACACTGATAATGAGTACAAGGAAGAAGAAAATGTGTTAAAGTTGATTGTGGAAATGACTGCATAGTTCTTCTTGCTATAATTGAACGATTGAATTGTACAATGTGTGAAAGAAGTGCCAACAAAACTTTAATAGAAAAGAAAAACAATTCCTAAGTTAAAAAAAAATGTGGGAGTTGAAATTGAAAATAGGTTTCACAACTTTGTCGCTATAATATGGTAACTAAACAGGTTGTCTTCTTAGTATATGTGCTGCCTCAAATCCAAGAAAGCAACTGAGTTGCTTATAAGTAGCT